GAATAAAAAATGTAGATTTACCGTATGTTATTGTTGAGCAGCTCTTAGCATGACTGAAATGTTCAACAATTACTTTTCGCGGTGGGTGGTATAAGTAGCTCAGAGCTTTGGCTCTGAGTGAAACCAAGAGTACAACACAATTAACCTTTTAAAGTCATGAAATAATTTAAATTGATAAATTAATTTAAACTTTTACCGTCACTGGGGACGGGTACTTTTGCTTGTACTGCATATTTCACGTTATCATGAATATAGGTGTGCTGATAATACTGCACATTACAATCATCCCACTATCTCTCTCTCTCTCTCTCTATATATATATATATATATATACATATTATTAATAATTTTTTATATGGCTACTACGACTTACTTAAAGTACTTATGTATTAATTAAAAAGTACTTTATTTTCTAAAAATTTGTACAGAAAATAATAATAATAATAACACGCGTTATAGAAGAATATGTTCGGATGGGTTTAAACATCATTTAACTTTTTTGTTTGTTCCAGGCTGCTTCTTCAACCTTCTGGTTTGCGACAAAGAGGAACTTTGCTATGACGGTAAGTTATACGAAGTCCTCTAACTATAAAACTATGTATAGAACGAATTTTCTTTCAGTGATTCAGTAGTAAATTTTGAAGTACATGTGGTTTTCCTTAAGGATGGAAAGTTTTATCCGTTGGTTTCCATGTTTAACTTGTTGATGTTCATGGAGTATGAAAAGTTGCCAAGGGGTTGTCTAAAGTATTTCTTTAAACTATTAATCTACTTAAAAATACAAATTATTATTTTGATATATAAAGAAACTAGTTATAATCAGCCAATAAAATCTTATGATTTTATGACGTTTTAAGTTTTGCTTTTAACAGCGGTTAAAAGTGGTTAACTACGAACTTTGAAGATATATGAATGTTTGTCAAGTAACTCATGTACTATTTTCTATTTTTTAACTTTATTTGCACAAATAATTGAGCAAACCTAACTCAAACAAAAAAGAAAATAATTTAATTTCGAGACATCTGAAAGCTTTAATACCAATATGAAGTCAATCAACATTATTCCTATGTTAAACCTATTCCAAAATATTATAACAATATAAATAAAAAAGGGAATTTAAAACCCCGCAAATAATTATAATAAAACAAGAAAACAAGGCTGGAGATACTGTAGAAATTATTTACTCAAACTACAAACCCCTATTTTGGTTCCATGATGTTACATAGAATTACATTTGGTGGAGTCAAAATAAGGATTTGTAGTTTTAGTGAATAATGTTTACATTATATCCAGCCTTGTTTGCTTACTTTTTTGCGATCTCTATTGGCAGGTTTTTAAATTAAAATTTTTTATCTATCTTTGTTGGCTTCTTTATGCCCAATTATGGGCAAAAGATTATTTGATACGGTAGCTAACTTTATACATTGTAATCATAATAAACATAGCTATTAGCTAGCTGATATTGTTCATGATGATTTATTGTAGTTATTGACTATTTGATCGCATTAATTCGAGATTTAAAATGTTAATTTGCAGCTGGAGATTATCATAGAGATTTGTTTGAGAATATAGTGAGCATTTATAGTTTCTGTGTAACTAAATTCTCTATATATAATGCATAGCATTGGGTAAATATATGCCTAGGCTAAGACACAACCCCCAGTAAAAAAGCAGCCTTTTCAAATAAAACATATATGTCTAAACATCGCTTTAAATATACCTTTGTGTCTTTTAAAGTAATTATTCTACGATTGTATGTAATAAAATGTAATATATGTATTGATATATTTTACTCCTTCACTTCATACATAATATAGAGGTTGGCTCCCTAAAGACACCAATTGTATAGTATACAAAGCATTGAGTATCTACATGTTACAGTGATCTAATGTTCATTATTATTGGCTGGTCATTTCTGTTTCATCCTGTACTTAAGGTTTTTAAAGGAATACCAGTTATTTGTAAAAAAAGCTAACTTCAAGTGGTAATGATAACATCGTTTACACTAGAATTATGATGTTTTTAGCTTATGTAAAATATAGAACAAACAAATAGACTTTTCAATACCCCTACGAACAGGTTTGGGTACCAAGCCGTTTTTGTTGTAGGCTGACAAGAGAATAATAATAATAAGAAAAAGAATTATATACGAACCGTTTTGAGCGGATTTTTTTTCCCTTACAAGTCTAACATGCATGCTTTTTTGTGCATTTTTATTTGTGTACAGTCTTAGCAGTCAATAGTAAGGTAAGTGTTGTTTGAACTGAATCTTTACTGTTTAAGGTGCTTTTTGCCGGAACGTTCTATTATGGTTTTGTGCAATTTCTTGCGATCCATATTATGAACCACTATCGTGGTTCATGATGCCTTACAAAACTTCAGTGGAAAATGTTTGTATGGAAGTGGAGACGTTTGTCAGAAACCTTTTTGCGTTTGTAGTCCACCTATACCCCGGTGTGTTAACGGTAAGTTTATAGGCTTAGAACGCTAAAATCCAAGGTTCAATTACCGGCGATGGATAGATTATGTATATTTGCGCTTAAAGAAGAACAACAACTTCCATTCCAGCTAATTACTAAAGGTAGCATCGTGCGCTAAACAATTTTCATGATATAGGAAGTTTGTGTTGAATTATGCCTCTAGTGGGGTGTTAAGATGTAGGAAGTTTGTGTTGAATTATGCCTCTAGCAAGGTGTTAAGATGTAGGAAGTTTGTGTTGAATTATGCCTCTAGTGGGGTGTTAAGATGTAGGAAGTTTGTGTTGAATTATGCCCCTAGTAGGGTGTTAAGATGTAGGAAGTTTGTGTTGAATTATGCCTCTAGTAGGGTGTTAAGATGTAGAAAGTTTGTGTTGAATTATGCCTCTGGTAGGGTGTTAAGATGTAGGAAGTTTGTGTTGAATTATGCCCCTAGTAGGGTGTTAAGATGTAGGAAGTTTGTGTTGAATTAGGCCTCTAGTAGGGTGTTAAGATGTAAGAAGTTTGCGTTGAATTATGCCCCTAGTAGGGTGTTAAGATGTAGGAAGTTTATGTTGAATTATGCCCCTAGTAGGGTGTTAAGAACAAACAGAGAAATTTCTTTTCTTTTGAAATTAGTCTACGGTTTGATGTTATGTTTATATAAGCGTACATTTTGTTTTCATTCATCACGTGAGGTACATCGCTGGTTTATGAGGGTTAAAATAACAGCTGAAGATCTTTAGGCTTTTACAAAATGTACCTAATGATCAAAGATTATACATAAGCGAGCTTAAAACGTGAGGATGAGAAAACATTCGCTTTTCAACATCAGTAGGTGATAATTAACCCTTTTTTTATAGACACCCTCGTTACACCGAATACCGTGATATTATACATCACGTGTGCGTGGATGTTGCCTTAAAATTTTCACAGTTGTTTGGTGCTTCAATTGAAACCGCATAGAAAACAAGCTGTAATCGTTAAAATAACGACAAACAACCCTAACAAGAGATGACAGTGAATAACGTCAATGTAAACGCTAAAGCTGAAACAAGAGCAAAGAATTTCGTCTACTAACTGTAGATATGATTTGGATGTCATTAGGGAAATGGGTGTTTAGTTCTCGATTCAAGAGTTCTTTTTTTACTTCAATGGCTCCCAAATTAATAGTATTCATGGGAAAGTCAGCTTTGAACATTGGTAGTATCAGCTTCCTAATTAACAGATACAGAAGGAGAAAATAACGACTAACGAGCACCAGCAGAGCCTTCCACGTGCTTTAAAATACTATTTCAACGAGCCCCTGGTTTGTGTGTAGCTCCCACCAGGAGTAAGGTTTTTCTGAGTGTCTGAAACATCTTTGCTTAATTGTTCAGTGATGAGTAAAATATAAATAGTTTTGAGTTACGAAAATAATATGCTTCTGATATAAAACCTTCCAGCTTCATTATCTCTTAAGAACTTGCATGTTGCTGCGAAACCGTTTATTTGAAAGCAGCCTTTCAGGTTCTTTAAACATTTTTTTTTTCAATTTCGTCAAATGGTTTTTCATGACAAACTTTATCTGCAGTTTAAAAATACCCAGAATTCCACTCTTCTATCTTACAATTAACGCCCCACATTTTCCTTCCCCTGTATTTGTGAGACTTTAAAATGAACTGCGCTTCCACTTAAAGGACACTCAGCCATCCAAGCTAGCATGCAGAGTCTGGTAAGATTTTAAAGCGCTGTTGTCTTGTTAAGTTACTTTGATCCACATTAATTAGAACATCTTATTTTTCCTTGAAACTCTGAACATTTCTTTGTTTTTTTTTCCAATATTAAGTTGAAACTATTTCAGTTTTCACGGAGAGAATCTCATAATTATAATAAATGTTAAAATAAATGAATCAGTGGAAAAGGTTTTACTGATGGATAAAAATGTTATATTTAGATACTTCAAATGTTTTCGGTCAATGGAGTGCAACTTCTGGTATGTTCGGAAATCTTCAAAGGTAACTATTGCGTATGAAATCTCTTCGTTTAGCGCTCGACTCGCAATCTGAGGGTCGCGGGTTCGAATCCCCGTCCCACCAAACATGCTCGCCTTTTTCAGCCGTGGGGGCGTTATAATG